TTTGTTTCAGCTAAACTCTAAGACAGTCTGCTTGTTTGATATGGAAGGAAGGAAACTTAGATATCAGAGAGAGGATGATCATCGGCTGAACAACAGCCAACAAATTATCAAATTCACAAAATTGTTTTCACCATTTTCATGTGTCCTTATACTTTACATCCAGTTTCCCATTTTTCTATCTTCTTAAGCAGCTTTAAAATGAAAAAAAAAATCTCCTTATTCCACCGTCTGACAGTGACATGTATATTCTAATATGTTCTGCATAATTGTGTTGCAACTCTTCATAAACAATTTGACATTTACACTGTATAGCTTTATGTTCTTATCCCTGCAATTCACCATCACATACTGTAGAAGTGTTCTAGATATTTACCTCCCCAAACTTAAGCTTGGCATAATTGGGCTATTTTTTAAAAACTTTATGGTTCACCACTTTATTTTAAAATAAGATTCTGTGGTTTTGAACGTTTGACTGAACAGAATGTGTTGGGTCACTTGGGTTTCATGTTTGTCTCCCAGGGTCGATTGAATCAAAACACATCTATAAAGTTAAAGGATCAGATGTGGAAGCTTGTATGATCACACCCCACAACAGAACCTGCATTATCTGAATGCTATTCATGTGTCCATTTGATAAATTAATGCTAGTCACTGCCTGTACATTTGAAAATGAAGTGTTCAAAATGTCTTGTCTTAACAAGCTTTAAACACAAAACTAGTAGTATCATATCATATGATGCCAAAAACAAACAAAATAAATACACAAATCAGTAAACTGATCAGTCAAACGGAATTAGAGGTGAAGAGGTGAACAAATTTTTAAAATGAGATGAAACTAAGACAAAAAAGAGAAGATAAATAAGGAAGAACAAGAAGCAAAAATAAAACAAGAAGGGACAAAATGAAAAGACAAACCACAAAGGAGAACAGCTGAAATCTGTTCACTTACTTTGCTCTGTTAGCTGATTGTGGTCTGTCAAAGTTCAGTCTTCAAGCTCTTAGTTTACCTTCTTCTGTGCCCAGTTGTCCTTCTGGTCTCTACGTTCAGTCCCCTAATCGTTTTTGTTCACACGTATTTGTGTTGCAAAGTTTTGCTAAACCAGGCAGTAAATCCAAACTCAATTACTCAGCACAGCCGAGATCCTGCAACTGAACAGCACCAGCAACATAAGAAGAGCAGGACTGAACTGTTTCTCAGGGCAAGGTTGTCCAGACTTTCCTCAAAAAATAAAACTAGTACATGATCTAGTAAAAGTACATATTCCTTAAAATGGACTCCAATGAGTTTTGCAAGAAGCTGCTGAAATGTACAGACCACAGAGGGTTAACTCTGGATGTGTCTGTTTTGGAAATACCTGACTCACTCACTCAGCCAGTGAGCTTAAACATTAGCTGTGAGAGCTGAGTAAAACTCAAGTGAGAATTCATCTTTGGGGTTTTGGTTCACTTTAAGTTCTGTGAACTCACAGAAGTCACCAGAAGAGATAATCATCTAAAGGCTGAGGTCAACAAGTCACACTGAGGTCAGTCAGTTCAAGAAATGAAATTTCATCTCTGAGAAGAGAAATGAAGCAGGGTCAGCCTGTGGTCTCCCCTCAGAGCGCCCGACTCCCAGGACACCGAGCTCTGACACTAAATCTGCATGGACAGGATATTGGAACAGAGTTTGTCACTCCAATCTTCTTTTTTCCCCATACAAGTAGTGCCTGCTGTGTTTGTTCACAGCTTCTTCGCAATCAACAGCAGCGTGTGTGTGAGAGTGACAGAGGTAACATGGGTAGCAAGCAATTTGAGCTGGGGGCTGGGGCATCAGATTTCAGCCCAGTGACTCTGAAATGACACACACACACCATATCAGGCAGTAGCTGTGGACAGATTAAGACTATGTCAGGCTGTGCTCTGTCTACTGTTACACACACACACAGAGTGCTCCTAAAGGTACTAACAGTAGTATATACCTCATCTCATTCATTTAGCATTTAGCATCTATAAGTGCTATAAAATATTTAATAAATGGATATACAGTAGTACCCCGCCTTTCGCCCAATGTCGGCTGGGATTGGCTCCAGCCACCCCACAACCCCGTTTGGGACTCAGTGGTATAGAAAATGGGGGGGACATATACAGTATTTGCTTGTTTACACCCATTACTGTACACTCTGGCATATTTGCAATCAACAGATAAAACTTCAGCTCCACTCCGGGTTGCTGAAAAGTTCAGATTTTCAGATTTCTTGTCAGACTCCTGAAATCTGCAGACATTTGTGGGTGAACAGTGACTCGCTTTCAGATTTGTGACATCATAAATTTTACCAGTCGATGTTTGAACCTAAATTTTAGGGGAGCAAACAGACATTGGCCCCTTTTTATGCCCTTTATGTGGTATAAAAATAAGAAAAAACATTTTTGAGTGACGGGGATCTGTAAAATAAAATGTTGCTGTTATGCTGAGTACAAGGTAAATTCTAACATGCTTGCAATCAGGACAAATTTCAGTGATGATTAAAGGGTTTAGATTGTGCACATGGATTCTTGTTTATTTTATTGTTTAGAAGTTATATGAAAACTAAGTTTACTCAATAAGTTTTAGCTGTAGTGTGGATGGTTTGTTTATTTGAACTGAGAATTAGTATTCACATCCAGCTGTGTTTGTG